GATAATTATTGATATAAAATTGGAATGCAAACGAGGATAAAGAAAAAAAATCATATATTACTTTTAATGCGTTTATTCCCGACTTATTACGTTATGTAAAATATAATTTGCCAGCCAATAAAGGATAATTTCGACGATAATTTCGTTCTAACGTTCGTTCAATAGAGAATATTGCAAAATTAATTCAACTTAAGAAAGGAATTTGTGTTGTTCATTTTGATCTTAACTATTTTATAGAACATTTACTACTAAATTAGGAATATATTTTCCATATATATTCCAATCTATGTGTATAGAATACATAGGAAGATATAATCGAAGCATAAACTTGCTTCGATTTATTTTAAATATTAAATGTGATTACGCACAGGTTTGACAAAGCACTCGGTTTTATTATCTATTTATTAAAAATGTTTTATCAGATAGCGTAATAAATTTCAATTTCATCGAATTTTTACTGTGTAATTTCCGCTATTCGTTGCCCGCTGAATCTAATTGTACAATCTCACTAACATGGATGTTGCGTTCTTGTTCCTCCACTTGGATCTCTCCTCTGAATTTAATTCCGTGGCTGGTAAAACTTCAACATCTTTTATTTCTACTTTTGTCCAGCTACTCTTGCGCGCTGAATCTGACGGTACCGCCATTGCGAATATTTCCTTCTCAGCTGCCACGAATCCAAATCGATCCTCTGTCTTGCGCTAATTGCGCTCCCTCCAATACCGGGCCGGGTCTGCGAAATCTGATTCTTATATTGATTCTATCCTTGATTCTGATTCTCAATCTAGCGACCTCCGCCCGTGGTAAATCGGATAAGTCGATTTCTTCCTGTTCCCGTTCCTCCAGAGCCCTCCTCTGGATTCCGCTAATTCCGGGGGATGATAGAATCTCAACATCTTCGATCATCTCTACTGGTTTGATAATTTTGATCACATCGACTTCGTCATCAACTTCATGGTCTAATCTAGCGGGTCTTTTTCTACAGATTTATTCAACTCTTTTTTATTGAATGGTAACACCACGTAACATAAAATGCTTCTTCTATTGACATTTTTGATATGTAGATCCAGATTGTTCCTTTATGTTATATTAATTTTGCTTTACTCTTTTTTAATGCCGTAGACTACTGCAAACCTAATTGTTCCATTAACTTTACCACTAAATGTAATTCTTGGTAAGTTTTACTGGAGGTAAACCAACTAAGTCGATCTCTTGAGCACGAACACGAATTTCGGTAATCTTGCCTATAACTTTTGCTAGGTCAGCATCTTGACGATTTGCTCCGTCAACGACTTTACGAGGGTAATTATCCACAATGATTTGTGGTTGAAATGAATCAGAATCAGTTTGTAATTAAATATATTTTATCTAAATTTTATTCTCGTTTTATTTAAATCTTTATTTTTATTCTTCATGTTCTCTTTAGCAATCTTTTTCTATTATATCTTATAAAAATTCTATTTCATTATCAGTAATAACATAATCAACAAGTAATCAAAGTATTAAAATTCAATATTAATTATAAAGTTCAAATATAATATTAATAATTTTATCGCAATGACTGATGAGACTTTTTTTAATGAGAAATGAAAAAAGTTATTATCCTAAATAAGAATTGTCGACAATAATTGATTTTGATTTCGTGTATGTTTGTCATAAAAAATTTATATAGATTTATATAGATAAACTGCAGATAGTTCCATTAAGGGCGAAGATAATAAAAGGAAATAATTGGTCAGATACTTTCTGTGTTCCATTGTGCAATTTGTGGGAAAAGGGAAAAAAGATACGTACGTTTTTCTTTCTAGCCCTCATTTTTCTCATTCTTTTTTTCATTCTTACATTTTTACATTATTTTCACATAGCACATAATATAAAGATATAGTAAAAAGAATTTGACCATGTATCTTTATCTCTCTTCTTCTATATTATCATTAGATGTTGTACATAAACGTACAATTTATGTAAATCTATGAAGTATTTATGCTTATAACATATTGTATGATTTTTTGTCTTTGACAAACCGGCGCAACAATGACCAAAATACCAAAACTTTATTTCATTATCTCAAACATTCCTCATATTCTTTGAGTCCTGTACAATAAGTGATTAAAACAATAATTATAAACTGTGTAGTAATTAATTATATAGATACTTAAATAAATGAACAAGCAAACATTGATAATATAGTAGTCTACCACAATATTCATTAAACTATATAATTAATAAATTTATTTACTTAGAATCAATAAGTAATTGGTAATTACTTATCAGATAATCCTCTAAAAATATTAAAAAATAAATACGAACAAGACAAATCAAACCAAATTGCAGAAAATATATTTTTTCAATTTATTTTTTTTTATTTATTAATATTTTATATTCGTATTTTGCGAATTTCTCCAGAAATATAAAATTTTGAAATAATAATGATATAAGTTTTATCGTACAAATAACATTTTATAAAACATTTTATAAAAATCACTGAAAAACAAACTTATTTTTAATAAATTTAAATGTATTAAATTCTTTAACGGATCAAAGTATAGAAATTATTATTAAAATAAATAATTTTATAAATTTATCATTAATAGTATATTTATCTTATTAGAAAATTATTATTATTTTATTTATTTAAGACAAAATTTTATATCTATATTTATATTTATATCTACAGAAATCTTTCGATGATTTTAGTTAGTAGTTCTTTTTTAAGTAGATTTTCTTTAAATTATTTAATATTTATTATTTCTGATGCAATCTATTTTTGTATTAAAATATACAAAATTACAATGTTGTATAAATTATGTAATCAAATACATAATACAGTATAAAATAAAATATAATTCAAAATATAGAATTACTATAAAATATTTTAATACGCAGGAAAAGATTAAAATGCAGTACATACATGATACAATAATTTTTGCAATATAATTATTACTAATATATTAAAAAGTGATTCGTCAAATATCATTCATCAAAGACTTTATTGCAGAAAGAAGTAAAGCTTAGATCTCATGAATTGCTTCCGATAATTTATATTAATATTTATATTGATATATCAGAATGTTTGTTCTAGAAAATATTCTTTTATTAAATTATATTAAATTATACTTTTATACTTATTTAAATTGTACTTTTCTTTTGTGATAAATAAAAATAAATTTTATACATTAATATATATATATATCTTCTAATAAAAAAAATAGATGAAATTATTGTCATATATGTCAAACTGAAAATAATTATAAAGTGTATTTAAAAACAAAAAATATAGATTATTGAAGATTATTATATGCAAAAATATAAATAATTAATTTCACACATTATTCATACATAAATTATTAAAATTAAAAAATTTGTATAATTTATTTACAATTGGTTTAATTAATTAATTTATTACAATTAATTTATTAATTAATTTATAATTAGATAAATTAGTAACTAAAAATTTTTTATGATAATTCATATAAACTGTTTATTTCTTAAAAATTTCTTATAAGAATATATCAAAATATATTTTCTTTTGTCACAATTCTTGTCAAACTTTTGTAATTTGAATGTATTTTATTTATAATTGAAATTAATTTATTCAATATTCACATTCACTTACTATCATTTTTTACCATTTTACCATCTTAAGACAATATTAGTGCTAATATTAATGCCTAACATATTAATAGAAAAACAATAGTATAATTATATATACATATGTAATGTATATAATTTATAAAATAGTTATATAATTTATAAAAATAATAGACTTATAAGAAAATAGAATATTTATTAATTTATTAATTTAGCGTTTAATAGCGTTTTTTGACAATATATTATTACTTAAAATATATTATTACTTATTAAATAAAACTTATTATTGATAACATATTAATAGAAAAACAATGAGAAATAATGAAAAGAATAAATTCTTCTTTTATAATAAATTAATTTTATAATTCAATTTAAAAAGATATATGCATAGTTATTGCCGTTAATTTATTGCTGAAAACTCCATTTCTGAGATTCATAAAAAAAAGAAACTGATATTAATGCCAGCCTTGCAAGGGAAATCTTCAACTTTCAAAGGGCACCAAATTAGACATCGCGAATGGATCTCATGGGAACCAACGGAAAATAACTCACCACGATGAAGATCATTACGTCTTCCCACTGGTATGAATGTCGTCCATCTGACAGCTGTAAGGACCCTTTGCAAGATAGCGATTGCGACTAAAAACATAACTTTCTTTTTTACAAAAGCCTTTAATAAATATTGACTGCAGAATATAATAGGATCAATTCTTTTAATTAAGCCACATGAAAATACATTTAATTGATAAGATATAATATTTTTCGGATGTTAACTTCTCAAATTTTGCAATAATTTTCTTATAATTTTGCAATTTTGCAAATTTGATTATATATGCACGTTTCTAAAATATTAGAATTAAAATATTGATTATTAAATTTTACAAATAAAAAGATACCTAATAATTGAATACTACTACTATTGAACTTTTTAATTTTACACTTTATTTTTTAACAAATTCTTTATATCATATGCTACATTGCTATTTTGAATATAAAATTTATTATTATTTAAAGTTTTTAAGAAAAAACCAATAATTATTCAATTAATATTTATTATATTTATAATATATTTCTTTTATTTTCTTTATTTCTTATTTTATTTAATTTACTTAAAATATTTGCTAAAGATGTTGAAAATTTAATCAATTTAAGTAGTAAAATTTAATAAGCTTTAAGTAATAATATATTGTCAAAAAACATTAATAAATTAATAAATTATTAATAAATTATATTCTATTTTCTTATAAGTTTATTATTGTTAGACTATTTTGTAAATTATATATATTACATCCGTATATATAGTTTTTAAATTATTTATTCTTGCACGTTTCTTATTTTAAATTTTATGTAATTGGCATAAATATCTTATAATTAAATATCTTATAATTAAACGTTCTTTTTATCTCAAAATGTCAGGTAATATGAATTTCTCCTCCCATTGCACTTATTCGCGTAAAACTCTTACGAATAATGATCGCACGAAGATTAATTATTAAAAAAGTCTTTCACATATTTTGCAGCACTCCCTTTTATAAAGTCCATGAAAATATATTCAGTATCACTAGATGAGTCTGCATTTTCCTCGAGATCCTATACTGTCTTACATCAAAAGTGCGATTAGTAGGATATCAATTAAATGACTCTTAAAAAAGTCTCTTAGTTTGATTACTCGTGTGGCACTCTTGATGTTACGAATCAGCTGCAGTTCATTTATTTAATTATGGGAGATGATGTATATCGATGAAATTCAACGTTGTTTGTCATATAATATCTATTACATGACTCGTGGCAATGCTATTCTCATAATACAATAGATATCATTAGTTTCTTCATTACTAATCTGTTTCTCAGAGCGTTGGAGAGCTCAATAGAAGATCATGAATTGTGAAAATATTTCGAATAACGAATACTGATCGTCGTGTGCGAATCAATAAACGGTATTTTATTGTATAATATTCAATATGCACAACAACAAATACTTTATTAAATCACAAAATAATTATTATCAATTAATTGTTATATGACACACTGTTAATTACATATCTTTATCTGGCAGTTGTATTGTACTCTTAATTTAAAAGTAGAAAACAAGTTATTTTAATAGACAAAAAGAAGCTCATCATTGAAGAAAGCTGAACCCTAAGCGTGCAGAATCTAATAAAAATTTCTCTATTACTTCAGTTTCTATTTAAAATAGACAAATCACGCGAGATACTTTCTTTAAAAACATTTCTCTCTGCTAAAAAACGGTTGATGTTTAAGGCCTACAAATAGTTAATCATAACAATTCTCCCGTATTGATTGATAATCATTAATTGTTTGTAAAGAATAGTCATGTTTCGAGATGTATGGAAAAATTTACATCATTATTTGCCCATTCAAGTATTTCTTACACAAATAATAATACAATATACTTAGGCAAAAGCGTGCTATACAAAACAAGCAATATGATCGCGCGCTAATTGATTTATTGACAATCCAAAATATTAACATTTTTTAAACAGCTTTATGTTTAACATTCTTGAATTATCAAAAATCAGTTTTTAATATTATCGTTATGCATATGTT